TCACGTCCCGGACCCGGTGGCTTAAACTCATGCTGGGTGTGTGTGTGTGCGTGCCCAAGATCTCAAGAGGAGAATGGTGGAGAAGGGATTGCAGTGTGGCCATCCCCCCTGGGGGGTGATTTCTCGCTTTCTGTCTCTCTGTCTCTCTGTCTGGCAAGCGCATGCGCCCTATAGCAAAAACCTCTAAAAAAAAAAAAAAAAACAAAAACTCACACCAGACATGTGTGCATGTATGCCCAAAATCCTAAGAGGAGAATGGAGGAGACGGGATTGTAGCAGTGGCCATCCCCCCGAGGGGTGGTGATTTCTCACTTCTGTCTCTCTATATCTTTCCGGCAAATGCACACGCCCTACAGCAAAACTCTCTGTCTAAAAAAAAAAAAGAATTCTAGACAAGAAGTAGCATGAAGCGTGATGTCTGAGGTACCACCACATGGGATAAACCACATATCACTGGAGTTCTCAGGGCCTATCTTAGTGAGAGGACATTTTGAATTTCTGGAAGACTACTGCTTTATAAGACACTCTCTTTAGAGCTCTTGTGTAACTTCCTGTGCTACTTTTCCGCTAGCTAAAAGAAAACAACCAAATTTCAAGAAGGTTTTAAGGTAGGTAGCTACTTATATCCATTCTTCACCATCACACCTTTGCGATTCCGCCTGACACCAATTCTCATCACTCAGGGGTAGTCCTGTTCTGAAGACTTTTCTCCATTACAGAACCAAAGGAGCTGCTTTGACAGAGACAGGACATTTTTTACAATGAGAGGCATTTTAACAGGTTCTCCCAGGATGGCTCTGTAAACGTGCCCGGGCGAGTCCTCTCGGAATTGAGGGGAAGCACTGCCTGGTGTACCTGCAAGAAGAATAAATGCTGCGTGATCTCCTGAACCAGCTCCTCTTCAGCATTCTCAGGATAAAACTTGGCCAGGAAGTGGAAGGTGACTGGTTCTTCCTTTGAAACATCATGATCCAGCACCTGCAGGATTGCAGAGCAAAAGACATGCAAGCTATGTTGGCACCTCTTTCCCCATACTACGAAGAAAGAACCTTTCGCAGGAGCATTAACATTTTTTTCTGCTAAATTCACCACATTAGTCAAAGGCTGTGATTCTACAGTTTGAAGCATTCAGAAGGCCGTCTATGATAAGAAGTAATATTCACCTCATATGGAGCTTCTTAACCAGGTTAATCAATATCCTCAAAGGGTAAGTAGAACTAAGATTAAGGCACTGATGTTCTCAAGGCCACAGAAAGAGTTAAAAACTAGAAATCTGTGGGCCAGCAGGTGGTGTGGGAGTTACGGTAGTGGATTCCCACAGGACCTACCACGGTTCAAGCCCCAGACCTGGTGGCTTAAAAATCATGCTGGGCACATGTGCTGCCTGCCCAAAATCCTAAGAAAATGAAAGAAAAGGGATTCTGGTATGGCTGTCTCGCTGGGGGATGATTTCTCACTTTCCCTTTCTCTGTCTCTCTCTGGTGAGTGCATGTGTCCTATGGCAAAAACCTAAAAAAAAGCTTGGAGCACACTGAATAAACCAGTGCCTTTAATCTTCTAACAATTTCATCCACCTTCACCACTCTCCACCCCCCCGAAAAGCTTGAACCATCTGCTCTCCAGAGAGAATTTCATCCCAGGACATAAACATGCCATGTGACAGGCTACACGGCTCCATTAACGTGTGTCGTAATGTATTTCCCAGGAGCAGCAGGTCCTGTGGCTCCTGATGCCCCCAATCTAATATCCATTTGGCCAACACTCAGGTATGATTTAGAATTCACTTTGTTGAGAATCATAAAAAGATACAGGAAGTTCTGCCGCCTTTGCTACAGAACTCTCTACATTCCTGTGCAAATTCCAGGTGGCAGCACCCAGGAGATGCAAAATCAACCTGATCTAGGATGCCCTCACAGACCCTGGCTACTCTGACACGGTGCCACTGCAGTGTCCACGATCCTTGTGAATTACCTCTGAAACTTACAAGCAGCAGGGCTCCCAGGCGCAGGTTTAGATTATTGCCTGCTACGTGAACACAATTTGAACACTTCAGTTTCGAGTCAATCTGGTAAAAGACACATTTTCTGGTAAAAGACGCTTTCGTGGTTTATCACGCCATAGAGTAGGTAGAATAATTACTACAAGGAGGTAATTGCAGAGGGCTCCGCTTAGGGTCAGAATCAGACCTTGGTTTATTCTGAGGCATCTTTTAGGAGTTGCAGAAAAAAGCAATGGCTTTTGCCATGCTCCCCACCCACTTCCTGGTGAGGAAGGCAGGTAGCGGGTAAATGTGTCTTTGTGCGAACGGATGAACCCAGCAGAAGGCGGTTCCCCTGGGCATACTCGTTTCTGAGCCACGTTCAAGTTGCTAGGAGCCCAGACTTCCCCACCATGCCTCGGCAGCCCTGGAGAATCCTGATGATAAAGTGAACATTCTTCCTTCGCACCGGGACCAGGGCACTCTTTATTCCTCAGATCACACTGGTATTAATTCAAGTCAGGTCGTGGTGTTTCTCAAGAAGACTTTTTAAAAAAAACTCCCTCAAGAGGCCCAGCCTGGCAGCACATGCTAATAGATGCTGCTACCCAACCGGCTGAGCCATGTGGGAGGCCCAAGTTTGATTCCTGGCTCAGACACTCAGGAGCCTGAGGCAGGAGGATGGCTATTTACACAGCGGGACCCTGCCTTAAAAAGAAACAGAATCCCTAAGGAACACAGGCCTGGGCCAGAAGGGAGTTTAGCAGCAAGTCAATGCTCTGTGACGCTTGACTCATGTAGGAAGGCCCTAGGTTCACCTTCCTGAACACACTAAGTGCATGTGTGTGCCATGATCTGGGTTGGCTGAGGCTAGGGGGTGGATTGTGGCATGAAGACCCTGTTGGGGAAAGCCTCTCTTTCTCTATCTCTTATGAAATAAACTAACAAAAAGAATAGTAACAGGTCAGCAGGTAGCGTGGTGGTTAAGGTGCTGGACACCTACATGGCCGACAGTGGTTCGAGTCCTAGACCTGGTGATTTGATTTCTCACTTTCTTTCTCACTGATAAGTGTACATGCCCTATAGCAAGTTAAAAAATAATAATAATAAATAAAATAAATATTTTTTTAAAAAAGAAAAGAAGAAGAATATGAGTCACAAGGGAATTCTTCAAAGACATAAATTGCATTTAAAAAAAAGGAAAGACCAGTCATTTGCATAGTGGTTAGGGCAGCTGGATCCCACACAACCGACTTCATGGTTCAAGTCCCAAACTGGCAGCTTGAAAGACATACTGGACCCATGTGCATGCATGCCCGAAACCTCATGAGGAGAATGGAAGAGAGGGGACTACGGCATGGCCATTCCCGCTGGCAGGTGATTTCTTGCTTTCTCTCTCTCTGATGAGCACACGCACCTTGTAGCAAACTAAGAAAAAAAGGGGGAAAAAATGTAAAGAGAAAGTAATTCTTATTCCCAAAGCCTAACAAGAGGCTTAGTAAACTGAAGGGCAGAAAGCCAGAAGCCATCAGGCTGGTGACAATGGGGAAAGAAGCCAGGGCTGACAACAGTGTGATCCTGGCTTGTTCTGCTTGCCCAAGACAGCCAGGCAAGGCACAGAGACCTGTGGCATCCCCAGGACCTGCTTCCTGCGTGGCTGGTTCAGGAACGGCCCCTCCTCCATTCTGCAGCCATACCAGCCTGAGGA